TGGACATAAGCAGAATGTTCTCTGATTTGTGGCAACCATGACCATTTTCCTGTGATCCCAGCTATCATCACTGGCTATGGGGGTAAGGCAATTAGAGTGAAGGAAGCCCAAATCCCATTGGGGATAGTGTACTTACTCCCAAAGGAGTATGCTGTGTACATTTCTCCCATCTCTGAATATATTTTGGGGGTATCCTGCAGGGCCTGTGGTTACAGACCACTATAGGTGAGTTCAGACTGAGGGTATGTATGGTAAAGGAAGTGCTGAGGGGACATACTAAGCACCCACTTGTAGCTCTACCTGTACCTAGGCAAGTGACAAATACTAAGCAATATAAATTGCCTGGAGGTCACAAGGAAATTGGAGAAACTCTACAGGAGTTGGAGAAGGTGGGCATCATAAAGCCCACTCATAGTCCTTTTAATTCCCCAGTATGGCCAGTGAAAACAGCCAGATGGCTCCTGACATATGGACTACAGATAACTTTAAAAAGACACACCCTGTTTGCATGCTGCTGTCTCCTCTATAGCAGCCATTCTGGACACTCTCAGCCACGAGGTTGGAATGCATCATTATGTTGGAGACCTTGCTAATGCTTTCTACTCTACTCACATAGCACAGGAAAGTCAGGAACAGTTTGCCTTCAAGTGGGAAGGCTGGCAGTGGATATTCACTGTCCTTCCACAGTCCTACCATCTGTGACAGACTTGTAGCGCAGGACTAGGCCACACGGAAGAAAATGCAGTGTGGTTCTATCACTACATTGATGATATTATTCTCACATCTGATTCTCCTGCAGATTTAAAAGGGGAAGTTCCTAGATGGCAGCAACATCTACAGGAGAAAGGATGGGCTGCGAACAGCACCAAGGATCAGGGACCTGGTTTGTCTGTAAAGTTCTTGGGGGATGTCTGGTCGGGTAAAACTAAAGTTATTTCTGAAGCAGTCATGGACAAGATCCAGGCATTCCCTACCCCTACTACTGTATGGCTATATTATAAGAGTTTTTGGGTATTTGGGCTACTAGAGAGTGTTTATCCCACACTTTGCACATATTCTCAAGCCCTTATACCAGTTGGTACAAAAGGGCATCAGGTGGGACTGGGATGAAACATGCCCAGCTGCTTTTACTGGTGCTAAGCAAGCAGTCAAGGCCATATAGGCCTTGAGTGTAATGGACTCATCAAGGCCCTATGAGCTAGATATTAATGTAACTGAGGATGGAGTCTTTGGCAGTGGCTTGAATGGACACTCCAATCTATTGGATTCTGGTTACGACTATGGAAAGGAGCGGAGGTCCCATACATCTTGATAGAGAAGCAACCAGCTGCCGTGTACCATGCCTTGCTGGCTATGGAGTTCATCACCAGAATAGCTTCTACTAAGGTAATAACCACCTATCCCAACAAGGGGTGGGTGAGAGACTGGACCCATAGGCCATGGAGTGGCATCGCACAGACACCTACACTGGCCAAGTGGGGTGCATATTTATAGCAGTGTAGCACTCTCTCTACTATCCCCTTAAGTGGAGAGTTCCATTGCTTATTGGGGCCAGTGACATATAACCATGGAAAGCAGGAAGAACTTGCTTTTGTGCCATTGGTAGCCAAGAGTCCTTATCAGGAGGGAAAAGCCCCTATACCTGAAGATCTTGGTATACAGACAGCTCCAGTCATGGGCAGCCCCCAAAGTGGAGGGCTGTGGCTTTCCATCCTAAGATTGAGACAATATGGATGTAGAATAAAGAGGGGAAGAACAACCAATTGCCTGAGTTATGGGCAATATGGCTTGTGATCACCAAGAAGACCTCCCCTGTAGTTATCTGCACTGATAACTGGGCCCTTTATTGGGGTTTGCACCTGTGGCTACTGACATTGTACCATGTCACCTGAATGGTTGATCACTGGCCCCTTTGGGGGCAAGGGTTGTGGCAAGACCTATGGGCCTCTGGTCAGACTAAGACAGTTACTGTAATCATGTGACTGGCCATTAGTTTTGGGGACCCCCAGGGGGTGATGAAGGATACACTTTGGCCCAGGTGTGTTGGCTAGAAGGAAAGCTTGTCTCTGATGTAACCCAATGGTTACATCAGCTTTGTTGCATGTTGGGCAAAAGACAATGTGGGTTGTAGCCTGTTGGTGGGGCATGCCATTGACCTTTGAAGAAGTCAACAGAGCCTGGAAGGAGTGTCTAGTGTGCTCTAAGAGGGACTTGCACCATGTCCCTCAGCGACATAGGACAATAGTAGAGGGGCTGATACCCCTTGTCAGGTGGCAGATAGACTATATTTAGCCTCTCCCCATATCAGAAGGATATCATAGTGACATGACTTGTGTGGATACAGTTACTGGACTATTGGTTGCTTTTCCTGCATGTCATGCAGATTAGCAAATGAGCAAAAGGGGCCTAGAACATCTAGTTGCAGCCTATGGCTGGCCGCAGGTGATTAAGAGCGATCAAGACATCCACTTACTGGACATGTGTTACAAGAATGTGTGCAGCAAGTAGGAATAAAGTGGAAGTTTCATGTACCATATAACCCTAGTGGTGCAGTCATGATAGAGAGGTACAATGGTTTGTTGAAATCTGGCCTGCAGTAGACACCAATAGTCTACAGGGCTGGTCAATTCGCCGATAGACAGTGCTGCAGAATATGAATGAGAAGCCCCCAAAAGGAGCTTTGAGCCCATGCTATCACACATTGCTGCCTCTCCTACAGAACTGTATGTTCAAACCAAAGAGGAGTTATTGAAGCCAGGATAGGCCAGCAGAGCAACACCTGCTGCCAGTCTCTGCTTCATTAAACCCTGGAGACACTGTTGAGTGGACATGGCCCTGGACATTTTGACAGATGGACCAATGATGGCTGGCTCTTCTGGAACCTTGGGAGAAAGGCCTGGAAGCTGGCCTCCTGTGTATTCCTGGAGTGACAGCAGAGTGGCCCCAAAATATCACAGTAGTGTGCCCAAAACTTCCAGGTGGTAAGAGCATCTTACAGGGAAGTTTTGTTTAATATGTATGGCCAGTGCATGTACCTCCTGTAGTCCCATATATTGACCCATCTGTAACTCCCATAGGGAAGGGGGTGAAAGCATGGTATACTAGACCAGGACGAGATCCCATTCCTGCCACTGGCCTATCACAGGAGCACTCTCTTGCATGTATCCTACTTGAGGGACACTATTTGCCTATCTGGTGTCATTAAAACATGTATCTTATTGATCTTAAGGTTATTTTCTTCTACATTAGTTGTGGTCTGGATGATGCACCCCCTTGCTACAGGTGCCACATGATGATTGCTCTGAACTCCCTATCTGTTCAGCTGCTGACTGCCTGTGGAATGGGTGAGCTATGGACTTATCTGCATAGGACTTTGAACCTAGCTGTATCTTCCGGTGTGAGGAGTATCATGATATTTTTTTGCTGTTGCTATTGTGTCATTAGTCTGGTTACAATATCCCAGTTTTCTTGCCCAGGCACCATTGCAGAAGATAGAATATGAGTAGATTGCAAGGTGAGATTTCTGGAGGGTTGGCTTATGGGTAAAATTGCAATAATTCCAGTATCTCTCACCTGGCTTAAGTTTATCTCCATATCAACAGGTGTTTCTAAGGGGTGGAGAGAATTAGTCCATCTCCATATCATTGTGTAATTACTTGGGTGAGTGAGGACTTCTCTGGGCCTGAGAGGTTGGTAGGAGTTTTCACTCATTTCTGCCACAGCAGAAGAGAGAGATGTGGGACAACTGCTTGTAAGCCATAAACAGGTTTTAAACTTTATTTCTCCCTTTGACTGATTTCGTTTCCAAAGGTATTTTGCCCCAGGATTCCCCTTCCCTGGAGTTACACATAGCTTGTGCCAAGTTACACATAGCTTGCAGGACCATTCTAATCCTGAACTGGGCATTTAGAAATATTATATGACAATTTAGGAGAGATTAGAAGAGATAGAACTATCTCTTGTACTTCTGAACAAAGAATTTTACATTTTATTGGTTGGATATACAGTTTAAATGCAGGATTGCATTGTGATCTTTGACAACTTACCAGATAAACTGCAAAAGATAATTTCCTTCTGTGTTTACAATGTTCAGTATTTTGAAGTCTGACATGTTTATGAATATTTAGAAAATAATCTGTTGAATGGAATAACTTTCAATTATAGTAAAAAAGAAAATATTTTTGCAAAAATGACAGCTGTTGTTTTTTCTGATTAAATGTTATCTTTGGTTAACATCTTTAGAGAGCTAGTCTTTGTTTAAACACTTAATGATACTCTAAGAAAAGAAATTTTGTGTCTGGAAAGAATGGTTGTGTGGCCAAAATCTGAGAAGGTCCCAAAGTAACCTAAAATGATAGGATGCTGATTAATAAAGGGACAGCAATTATACGTCTATGCCCCAAACATACTGACATATAGACTGATAGCTTATGTCAAAATTTAATAAAAACAAAGTTGTGTATGGCATGCTGTCAAAAGTATGCCTTTCAGTTTAGTAACAAGTGATATTAAGAAAAGGTCATCTCTATTCATATTCATTCCATATTTTCCTTGGGGATTGTTTTTCAAGTTCTCCTAAAACAGGTATATCATTATATTTTATAAAATGGTCTTCTTCCATTCAAGATAAAATCAGGAAGGGCCACTGGGAAAAAATTTCCCTTTGCCACCATTTAAAATGAACAGTGGCTTTGAAAAGCTTTTTCATACATTTCACATTAACCACCATTATGCACTGTTGTACACCATCAGTACCTTATTGTACACCATCAATACCTAGTCCTGCTCAAAACACTCTACTTCAAACCATAACCACTAACCCAGGCAGTGTGAATTAAAATGCCCGGCGCACTGACTGATAGTCAACTACCTGAGAGAGTCAGAGAGGAGCCACAGGATTTTTAATTAATCAAATGACAGTAAAAATGAAATAAACCAGTAAAAGCCTGTCTCATTTAGTACATTCTCTTAATGAATTCAGAACTTGAGATTACTTTTACCTTATAATCCAAGAAAGAATTCACTTGTTCTACTTCAGAATTACTTATCATGTCACTCTCTTCATCATCAATGATTTCTATTTTCTGTAACATGAGTAGAGAAGTTTACATAAATATATATCTGATATCACTATACTCAACAATGTATAGAACACATACATTCAATGTACAGTTTTAGTGGTGGGGTTATTTGGTCTAGGTTACCTGAAATGAACTCTGATAATTGACCAGCTCCTCAGTGTTACACCCAGCGAGCCTGCGTCTTAGCCACCTCCCTCTACTTTTAATTGATGACTGATTAGCAAATAGAAAATTATTGTCATACTATTGAAAATAGGAAAAACCCTTTCATAATAGTCCTGAAAAAACAGTCATTCAAATTCTGTTTAAATAGCACCTTTCACTGGCAGGGAACACACTTCTTGTAAGGATTATTTATTTAATGGTAACTATACCGAAGTGTTTGGAAGGGCTTTTTTTTTCATATCCATATATACCCCTTTCAACTTCTAATGTAAAATGTCAACATATAACATGCATTCTAAAGTCGAATACTAGTTTTTAAAAATTCACTTATTTGCTACACTCCATTAGCTATAAAATTGAAAGCAGACATTTATGATGTAATGAAAATAATATGTAAACTTGTTCCCTTCACGGACAGTAAGAAAGGAGAGAAACACATAAAAGAGAAAGAAATGCTAAACTGCCATTAGTTTTAGAATTACGGAACAGTAAAGTTTGTATGTATCTCATATATAGTAGGAACTAATTAAATATGTCAAAAGAATGAACAAAATAACAATGTTCATGAAAAAAATAACCATTAAGTTCCAACCATGGGGGCAAGGCAACTTATCTAATCATGGAAACTGTTTTTTTCTTTAAAGCAAAACCAAAAGGCAAAGTCAGGTCTAAAATTTTCTTTTGCATTTGAAAAAGAAAGTTTTGCATTTGAAAAAGACAGTTACACTTTTAAACATTTAAACCCCATCAACCCAAAATAAAATTTAAAAATGAGAAAACCTAAGCTAGAGTTAGTCATTAGGCAGTCTTTTAAGAACAAGCATATTAATAGCAATATGTCATAGGCGGAATTTGAAATCAAGCTTCCTACCCAGGACTACATATTATACTTAAAATCACAATTTGGAATGATCATATTTGATATAGCACCAATGCAGATAAGATACCATAACAGGGTTTATGACCTGCAGGATTCTGATTCAAAAGGACGGCTGCAATGAAATTCCTTTCTGCTGCTGGCTGGAGATGAATCTTAATGATTTGTCTTATTTTATAAGCTCTATAAACTTAGGGCTTAGTCATGTCAGCTCTCACCAGACCTCAGATTTGACACTTTTCTGATGTTGATTTTCAGGTTCTCTGTCTGGATTGGTTCTAGGAAAAAGAGCTAGGTAATACAGGGAGGAAGGTATCAAGGACCATATTATAGATTTGTGCATATAGATAGGTGTTACATGTCTGTGTGATTTGTCATCCATGAAAAATTGGGGGCACTAGAAAGTGACATAGGAGATCAACATTTAAAAGTTTGGGGTTTTATTTCTGAAAATCAATCGTTTTTAAAAATTAGGTGCCTAAGTGACTGTAAGTCATCTCATGCCATTACATTGTTCATTATATTTAAATGTCTGCTGCAGTGAAATTCAGGCTAAAAATGAACATGTTTTTGGAGAAAAGGGGTTCCAGTTTGTAAATGATATTATATAACTTGTATAGTATAACTCAAATCCAGAGCAGAGGAGATTATTCCTTGCTGAAATTTAAGAATATTAGCACAATTAATAGTTGTGGAAAATAACTGTTACTAGCTATCTAATGAAAACACGTCTTTACCTCAAAATAAAAGTTTTCCCATATGCCTATTGAATGTAGTATTAGGAGCATTAAATATTACCTTAAATTAGGACTGAAATCAATAGAATATTATCCTAAACTCTATTCTGCATAAGGAAAACACACATATAATGTTGATATGTAACAAAAGAGTGAGAACTGTGTATTATGTGTTCAAATTTTATTAAGAATATTTGAAGAGCAGAGCCAACATGGCGGCATGAGTAGGGCAGTGGGAATCTACTCCCGAAAACATATATATTTTTGAAAATACAACAAATACAACTAATCCTAAAAGAGGGACCAGAAGACACAGGACAACATCCAGACCACATCCACACCTGCGAGAACCCAGTGCCTCGTGAAGGGGGTAAGATACAAGCCCAGTCCTGGCAGGACCCGAGCGACCCTCACCCCAGCTCTGGGTGGGAGGAGAGGAGTTGGAGCGGGGAGGGAGAGGGAGCCCAGGACTGCTAAACACCCAGCCCTAGCCATCCACATCAGAGCGCAGACACAGTGCATGCGTGGGGTGCTGGAAACTAGGGAAGCAGGACAGTAAGACCGTGACTGGGTCCCAAAGCCGGCGCCCCTATGACAAAGAAAAACGAGAGCGTTTTGAAAGTCTTAAAGGGACAGGGACCCCAAAGCTGGACGGAAGCATCCCAGGTCACAGTCCAGCAGCTGGAAATTCCAGGGAACTCTGGGCACACTAAACCCCTGGGCAACAGCTCTGAGACCCCTCATGGAGGTAAGCAGCCAAAAAGCCCCCCGTCCATTACCCCTCCGGGGCCCCGCCATGGCAGAGCAGCAGCCTGAGGCTGGCCACACCCAGCAAGGGAGCTTCCTCCATACTGGCCGGGCAAGATACAGAGAACCAGTCTACACGTAATTGCCAACACAAGCAACTAGGGGTTGCAGTTGTCCCAGTAAAGGCCAGGGTCCAAGTGGAAAGAAGCTTGACTCTCCCAGCTGATGGATGCATCAATAGCACTCCACTGCACCTATCAACATGAAAAGGCAAAAAAATTTGTTCCAGACAAGTCTAACGCAGACAGCTTCGACATCTTCTACATCTTCCCCTGAGAAGGAACCTGGAGAGATAGATTTAACCAGTCTTCCTGAAAAAGAATTTTAAAAAAAAGTCATAACCAGGCTGATGGACTTGCAGAGAAATATGCAAGAACTATGGAGGCAGAATACAGAAATAAAACAAGCTCTGGAAGGACTTCAAAACAGAATGGACGAGATGCAACAGACCATTAATGGACTAGAAAACAGAGAACAGGAATGCAGAGAAGCTGATGCAGAGAGAGATAAAAGGATCTCCATGAATGAAAGAATTTTAAGAGAACTGTGTGACCAATCAAAATGGAACAATATCCGCATAATAGGGGTACCAGAGGAAGAAGAGAGAGAAAAAGGGATAGAAAGTGTTTTTGAAGAAATAATTGTTGAAAACTTCCCCACACTAGGGGAGCAAATGGCCTCTCAGACCACAGAGGTACACAGAACTCCCATGACAAGGGATCCAAGGAGGGCAACACCAAGATACATAATAATTAAAATGCCAAAGACCAAAGACAAGGACAAAGTATTAAAGGCAGTCAGAGAGAAAAAAAAAGGTCACCTACAAAGGAAAACCCATCAGGCTATCATCAGACCTCTCAACAGAAACCCTACAGGCCAGAAGAGAATGGCATGATATAATTAATGCAATTAGACAGAAGGGCCTCGAACCAAGGATACTGTATCCAGCACGATTATCATTTAAATATGAAGGAGGGATTAAACAATTCCCAGACAAGCAAAAGTTGAGGGAACTTGCCTCCCACAAACCACCTACACAGGGCATCCTACAGGGACTGCTCTGGATGGGAACAATCCTAAAAAGAGCACAGAATGAAACACACAACATATGAAGAAGGGATGAGAAGGAATAAGAAGAGAGAGAAATAAAGAATCATCAGACAGTGTTTATAATAGCTCAATAAGTGAGTTAAGTTAGACAGTAAGATAGTAAAGAAGCTAACCTTGAACCTTTGGTAACCACAAACTTAAAGCCTCCAATGTCAATAAGTACATACCTTTCAATAATCACCCTAAATGTAAATGGACTGAATGCACCAATCAAAAGACACAGAGTAACAGAATGGATAAAAAAGCAAGACCCATCAATATGCTGCTTACAAGAGACTCACCTCAAACCCAAAGACATGCACAGATTAAAAGTCAAGGGATGGAAAAAGATATTTCATGCAAACAACAGAGAGAAAAAAGCAGGTGTTGCAATACTAGTATCAGACAAAATAGACTTCAAAATAAAGAAAGTAACAAA